TTTGAGGCGAGGCCAGCGGCGTAATAAGTGTACTGTGAGGATCAAGAAAGTCAGCCCGGGGAGGGGTCCTTTTCTTGGGATTGTGGATGGGGCGCTAGGTGCCCTGCGGGTGTGGATGTGGATGGTATGGAGGCATGGAGAGAGAGGTATGGGCATGGGCATGGGCATGGGTATGGGCACGGAGGCGCGGAGATGCCATGATGTGGTAGCGGGCGGGATGGAGCGTGAGTCAGTTTGCCGTCTACCTGCCTACCCTCGCCAACCACTCACTCGCTCACTGTCTGTGAGGGTGAGGGAGGTCGGGCCAGGCAGAATCAGGCTACTGCTGTTGCCCGCCACGCTGTTGGCTGTTGGCTGTAGGCTGTAGGCTGTACCCAGGGCTGTAGGCCCAGGGCAAGGTGGTGAGGATGCCCTGCCAGTGGATGATGGTTCCTTACCTCTCTGAAAGACGCCCGGGTGTAACTCGTCTGTCCAACCTGTGGCTTCTTCCAGATCCAAGTCTGATGCCAAGCCTCGGCGGCGGGTTCAAAGGTAGGTGCTGTTCTCGGTAGGAGCCGGGAGGGTCTGAAGGATCGAGACGCAACAGTCAGCCAAGCACCCTTATGGTCCCAGGTATCAACGTGAGAGGCCCCCAAGGGAGCGAATAGAATCTCGGGCCCGAGGCGGGAGGAGACCTTACCATGGAGGAGACAGCTTGTGTCACCCGAATATTCCTCTGCCTTGCTTTCCTTCTCGTCCACTCGGTTCGCTTGTGAAGGACGGTCTTGGGCCCTTCTCAACGATCTCTCTCAGTCTGGAAGCTCTGTATGCTGTTTGTGCATTGATGTCGATGGGTGAATCTCTGTTGCGATGACCTGGGTCAAGTGCGTGGACGAATGCGACATGCCTCAGAAAGGAACCAGCCACCATGGACGCGTCTCGCGAGGCCTTGCGCTAGCTTTTATACAAGCACACACGCACACATGCACACGGCTACCATCGAGGCGATACGGTGTCGTCGTCACCTGTTCCAAAGAGAAGCCTCGCCGTATCTACCTGACTGTATCCCCTGACACGCATTCCCTCTGCGAGGGTGTCGACCTGGCTTGCTAGTGCCCTCGACTTGGTTGCCTACCACTGATGGCTTCATCGACCAGTCGAACAAATGCCATCATTGGATGAAGCCAAGAACGCGGCGAGGGGGGTCCGCGAGGGACGGCCCCACGGGAGGGAGGGCACCAGTATGGGCCCGTACGCAGCGCCCGTGCAAGCCCGTGATCTCGTTGACCACTCAGGCTGAGACATGGGGGCACACCTACAGTCGCCCTCCCAAAATACATCTAGACTCCCGTGCTGGCCTGATCGTCTGGGTTCCTCGCAGTCGTAAGCTGGTAGTGGGAAGCCCTCAGAACCCAGTCCGTCAAGTACTCACAACAGTGCTGCCCTGTCTGTTGCGTCATGTGTGGTTGTGCGAGAGGGTACCTCGTAGTCGGCGAGCACGCACTACGAAGACCCTCTGTTTCCAAGCGTCTTTTGACTGGGCTCTATCATGATATCGGTCGTGATCGCGAAATCCCCTACAGAAGCGAGATAGCCGCCAGGCAGACAGGAGCATATGCCCCGGCCAAAAAAAAAGATGGGATTCTTCCCGCTCGCGCATTGCCATGAAGGGGTCTATCGCTACGTTCCCTCCCTCCCTCCCCGATCGATCCATGGACAGCGATTTGAACCCCGCTATTTGACCTCAGCCGACATCACCCAACCCACGTACTGTGTCCCTACAGCCACCCGAGAATATCGAACTGGGACCAGGGCACCGTCCTTTCGTCTGAAGCCGTTCGTGGTCACGCCGCCGGACCGTTCGAGGTTACACAAGACAGGCGTGGAAAGATGCGACTGATGGCAGTCTTCGTGGCATGATCCGTAGCCTTCTGGCATGGTGGCTTCGTCGGCACTGCTCGTCTTCATGCACGGCTATTGAAAACATCCACTCGGGTGAGGAGCAGACCTGCATGATGTGCATCGTAGCATCTCGTGGGGCGGGGGCAAAGGCCATTGCCTCCGAATGTACCGGCATTTGGAAACGAAAACATGGGAAACAAGGAGAAAGCGAGGTGGGCAATGTCGAGCAGATCCGATAGACTGCGGCCGAGCTAACAGGGTGCTTGGGTGGTGGCATGATGAGGATGCAGTCCCGTGGTCGTACACACCCCCTTCCTTCCCCCAAGAGCCTGGCAAGCCTGGAAGTTCCAAGGTGTGCTGCTCCCAAGTGAGACAGGTGAAGCGGCCTCATGCTGCCAATCGAATCATGTGCCACCGCTTACGTGAAGGGAACCCGCACCAGCCACTGAACATCCTGGGGCCTCCAGCCACTCTAGAGAGCTCCCGCGTCTTGATGACCTCTCACCACCATCATACCCTCCATCCGTCTATCTACTGCCCCGTATCTCCGACCGGCCAGCCCTCCCACCCTTTCCCACCATCATTACCATCCCCGTTCGCCTTTCCCACCCACCTTGATCACCACGACCTCTTGCCGCTTGCTCGCAGTCCTACTTGACTTTGCGCACGCGCGAATATTGCATTTCCCGTCTGCCTTCTTGTACCGTCGAGCTGTGGGTTGCTTACTCTCCGCCTTAGTTGGAAGCGATAGGCGGCTCTTTCCTCAGAGGTGCGTGCCGTGTCATCCTGCGGTTCGCGAAGCCGATAAGTGTCGGGGTAAACGAACCCCTAATATCAATCTGAGGGGAAGATGCCGGCCG